CTTCTTTCTTTCTTTTTAAATTATTCCCAGAACTCTTCCTGTCCTCTCTGAAAAATGAACCATTCAGGAAATCCACTTATGCAATGGGGGAAGGTTAGGAGATGTGACCTCGGTCATTCTGGTCATGTGTAATATATAAATCTAAGGGTTAGTAGCTACATCTTGCAGCAGAGAGGAGGTGTACTCCCAGGACACCTGCATGGCTGGCTCCCAGCGATCTGCGCCTCGAGTTATCTGCACTGGGGACTGGCTGAGCTCCAGCTGGCTCCCCTGCCACCACATGGACAGACCTCCACAGGATGTACCTGTCCTCCAGGCACATCTGATGCCAACCGCCTGCATCCAGGCCATGCTTTCTCCTGAGCAGGGAAGGAGGGAACGGGTTCTGAGGATGAGGGAGGATGGAGATACTGAGTGTACTACATGGTGCAAAGGCTTGTGACCTTCCAGGAATCGGTCCTACCTGATGGCATCTTACTCTTCATTATTCAAGGCCTTTCATATGGGAGTAATTAGATTTAATTAATTAAATGTTCTCCTTGAGGTGGAGCAGAAATGAAAATAAGGTTAAGAAACACTCTTCTAGCCCGTTGCTTCACTCAGCTGTTGAGAGACCATCTGGATTTAATTATATTATCAAGTGATTGTCAATGATGATGGCTTCTGCACCTGTTTTCTTTCTTTCTTTTTTTTTTTTTTTTAAGATTTTATTTATTTATTTGACAGAGAGAAATCACAAGTAGGCAGAGAGGCAAGCAGAGAGAGAGGAGGAAGCAGGCTCCCTACTAAGCAGAGAGCCCAATACGGGGCTCGATCCCAGGACCCTGGGATCATGACCCGAGCCGAAGGCAGAGGCTTTAACCCACTGAGCCACCCAGGTGCCCACCTATTTTCTTTCTTAATTATCACAGTGACTGACGCCCGTATTATGAACTCCATTGTATAGACACAGAAGTAGAGGTTACTGAGGTAAACTGAAGGCCATGCCCATGGAATGGCCGTGAGAGACACAAGCCGCTGGCAGTGCTGGAACTAGACCCTGAGGCCCTTGACCTTCTGCCTGGGGAGTTTACCTGAAAGTACTACGGGGGTTGCCTTTAAAGCGTTTCCCTTGCACTCCTCATAATTCTGGCCATATCTCAGCTAATAAGCAAATGTTACTTACTTTATTTGCTTCCAGCTGGGATTCCAGAGTTCCTGTTTCTTTGAGCAAAGACCTAGTTATGAACCAGAGGGAAATGTCGTTCATGATATCAGAAGTCAGTATTTCACCCAGACAGACCTATTCCAACACCTATGTTCCTCTACTTCTGTGTCTATTATACGGCTCCTCTGAAATGAATTTTCACACCAGATTTTCAGGAAACTGAACTGTTCTGCCAACTGGTTAGCTGCTAGATGGATGAGAAAAGAAGGAAGGTCTGCCCTTGTTCTTCCGTGTCTGCAGGAAGGCTTCCATCCCTTCCTCATGGCTCTTACTCGTAACATACCCTGAACCTAATGAGGTTAAGACGCCCCCTAGTGGGATGCAGACAGTCTGATACTCCGGGTTCTCCTCTTTCCACCCCATCCTTAAAGTCAGGCACCCTCTCGGTCTGATGGTGACGGTGGTGATGATGAAGATGCATGGGCGCTAAGTCCTCCTTATTATCAGTTTCACAGAATAGAACAAAACAAACATAATAACATAAGATACTGACCCGTCCAGAAAATAAGCCCTGGGCATGGAGGTCCGGACAGGAATCAAATGAGAGAAAAGAGAAATCACACATTAACACAAATTACTTCAATGATCTTCTTTCCCTAGATTAATGAAATGTTCTAAATCTAATAGGAACCTGTTTTGTACTGCTCCCAGAATCTCTCCATCTTGGAGGAACTCAGAGCCTCTGTGCAGCTGCTGTCTTAGGATGAAGAGCTCTGGTTTCAGGTGATGTGCTCAGTGCTGGGCACACGCTGCCAGGGGATGGATGAGGGACCAAACCAGAAGGAGAGGAGGATGAGCTGTGCTTCCTCTGCCTTCTGACCCATGACTTTTAGCTGTGACACAGGTTTTCCTTTTGCCCACCATCTGGTTTTTCTTTGTCGGGTTCGTAGGAACAGTATATATCACAGGTTGTCTAAACCACCCCTTCAACTCTCAAAAGTCCCCATTTCTGACCCACCTACTGGATAGGGTCCACCAACTTTGACGTTTATTCTAATGTATTACAATCCTCCAAGTCTCTTCTTTTCCAGGTCATTTGCCCCAGAACATGTGACAAATGCTATTTTCATGTAGAAGACATTCTGCCTCTAATAAAAGCAATTAGCGTACAGTATCTCACTGATTCTCACCAGGGCTTCGTGATCAGGCAGCATGATAGCTTCACAGGGGGTGCTCACAGTAGGCTCTGCCCTTGGTCGTGCCCATAAATACATACGTGACCTTGAGCGAGTCTATTTGTCTAGGGAACTTCTTACCACACTTGGAGGCAGAGGTAATCACATCTGCTCTATACAATTTTCAAGGTCGCAGGGAGAGTTAGGGAGGCCATGGGTATAGAAGCACTTTGTAAAGTGCAAACATAAGGGACTATGTTATTTCAGACTTAATCACAGGCAACAGGAATAAAAAATGAGAGTATCTAGGTGAGAATATGGACCTGTGGACAATGGGCAGGGGCATGACATTCTCGTTTCTTGGTTTTGCAAGGATTGCTTTAGAAAACCATCAATTCCAGACTTAAGAAGCACTCACAGGATATGGTGAATTTAGGACCATGTAAGTGCTGTAGGACCCCCTCCCGCTCCCTTCAGCATGTATTTCATCCCCGAGGTGAGGCAGGGGTCACTGTGCACCTGGTCTCCAAGATCCACTGAAGGAAGGCGCTGGCATTCTGCTCAAACTCCTGACGCATCTCAAAGTTCTTGACCTGTCTCGCTTCTTCCCTTTGCAGCTCCTGCTCCCGTTCCTAAAACCCCGAATCACAAATAGTGGCCTGAACATTGAAGACCTTTCTTTGTAGTAAAATAGCCGGTTCCTACACGCTCCCCTCCCCCCAGTCTAACACGTCTTCCGGAAGCATGTGCCACCTACGCGCTTGTATTTCCTCCCGCCCACCTCTCCTTGCAAAGGGGCAGGAAGCTCCCCTCACACCCCGAAGTGGTCGCAGGTGTCAGTAAGACCAAGCCCAGTAACAAATAAGCTAGTAATAAAGGCAAATCGTCCTCTTCTCATTTTTTTTTTCTAGGTGAAATCTTCATTTAAATGAACGTAAACACAGCCCTAAAGGGAAAAGTAGCAACAAACTGCTGCCCCCCTGAACCCCCGCTTGTGGTCTCTCTCTGACAAATAAATAAATAAAATCTTTAAAAAAATAAAATAAAATTGGTGATAGTTTGGTGACATTTTTCTTTGTGAAACTTTTTAATGTTTTCCATAGTTTCTATGATGAATAATATTATACACATAAAAATTATACACAAACACATAAAAAAGGCACTTTGGAGGTAGGTACAAAATAAGGTTGTGGGGAATCTATAGACTATGAACTTATACATGAACCTCATGAACTTTCGTACCCCATGTTTAGAGCCACCTCCTGGAGCCCGTGTTTGCTTCCTTGAATCACTGCTCAACGCCCAGAGGCATGAGAGTGTCTGAATGCTGGGGCGTAGGGTTGTACCCACCATGAGCATACTTCTGACATTTCCTTAGACAGTTTCTATTCATGACTGCTGACCCAGCATTGTTATTAACTGTGTCCTTTCTTTCTCAAAAGATCCCTCCACAACTTGTATAATACATTAGGTTGTCATGCTCACCACCGTGAAAGACAGCCTCTGTTGTGTGCCATTACCTTGATGATGTTAGACAGGTTCTTCCAGAACTTCTCTAGCACCTCCATCGTTAACCACGTGTAAGGGCTGGAGGGCACATTTAAGGCCTTAATCTGCTGGTCCAGCTCCAGCAGATTGTTGAAGTCAGATTGGGCCCCGGCCAAGGAGGCCAAGAAGGCCTCATGATCCTTCTGCAGCTGCCGGACTGCGTTCAGGGAGACACAGTGCACAGGCTCCGACAGGTCCTCCTCGGCATTCTCACACCAATGGTTGAAAGCGGAAGCCTTTTGTGCAAATTCCATGAACAGCTCCTCAGCCTGCAGAGAAAAAAGTCATCTCCATCTTTCCTGATAGAGGCCCTCAGCAAGAGAGAGGACAGAGGATTAACAAATAAAGACCATATTCAAATATTTTCAGGGTCAGCTCTCCAAGAGGACAGAACTGAAACCACCGAGGACATGAAATCAGTGGGCACATGGGTGCATCTGAGGCACTGCCCAGGTCCTGGTTCCCTGATGTGAGACTAGTCAAGTCTTCGTCATCTACAAATAGAGAGGCGGAAGGACTCCTAGAGTTGTTTTAGTGCCAAGAGTCCAAACGAAGCAAGGTCCATTTCCAGTGATGAGATTTCATGGTTTCTTATTCTGAAGTGTGTGCCCTCGTTCTTCCTGGCACATGGCAAACATGCAAAAGTAGGCATTAAATGAATGAATGGGTGAATCATTCAATCCGAGATCACTGATGGGCTAGGCCAGTCTCTCCCACTCTGCTTCTTCTTTCTCTCTTCTGAAGACAACGCCTCTCTGGTGTCTTTTTGTCTGTACCAAGTCCTTTTTTGCTTTCTTTCTGAAATTTATTCAGGGCTCAACCCAGTTCCTACCCTCTAAACTGTACCCTTACCCCTACGTTACGTTCTGGAGTTATCCAGATGTTCTGAATGACTGCACTGTCTGAATTTCTGAACAAGAGAAATAGTATGGATTATTCCAAACAGTAGGTGACCAAAAATGGTTTTAGATTAAAATGTACCATAGACTTCGGGTCCACAGTTTGTATTTCCCAAGAGATTTATCTAAGGCAAATGTGAAATGAGTTTTCATTCCCAAATATGGAGGTTAAGGAGGAGAAAATTGGTCCAAATGGAAGAGGTATGTCAAAGGTGTTAGACCATTACATCTTACCCTGTACTCACTTCAGCACTCTCTTTGTAAAATGGGCCCATACAGAGATAGTTGATATGGCCCCTACACGGGAAAGACGCAAAAACCTATAAGGTACCTCGTATCACTTCCGTAATATTATGGATCATCTCTGTATTTTACAAAGATTCTATAAGCAGGAAATCAAATGACAAACCTCTTTGCAGAGGTTGAAAGTTAAGCAAAAGAGAATAAAAATGTAAAACATCTTTCTATGTAGAACGCATATATGTGTGTAAAGTTGCCCACAAATTGATTTAGTTTTTCACTTAGGACTTATTTCTGTAGGTACCAAGCCCTTCAATAATTAGTTAAGGGTCCAGACTGACTGATCTTTATCTGAGTGTTTGTTTCCTCATTCCCTTCCCCACCTACCCTGACTTACTGCCTGGTACACGACTTCTTATGGTCTAGGAATGCTCGGTAATTTCACTGAGCATCGTGATTTCCTTTTACTATTGATTATTTTTTATGATTGACATCAAACCTTAGCAGCCACCACTAGAGAGAACATTGTCATCACATAAGCCTACAGAGAGCTTAGTGCCTTGCACTGCGTTCTCAGGTCCATGTTCTCTCTCAATGGTTGTAACACAGACCAGCAAGAGACAGTGGTAATACGGTTATATTTCACAACTGGAGGAATCAAGGCTCAGAGATGCGAAGTGACATATACAAGATCTCCCAGCTCTGGGCAACACAAGATGAGAACTCAAGTTTCCCTTGTTGAGTGCTCCTTTCATTTGGTTAGAGGACAATGTAAGGAAAGCCTTGCCTCCTGCCTGCCAGCAGAGTTTTTCTGTATGCTAGGACCATCCACCTTTCTGTTCTTCTGCTACATGTGCCTGGCATCCATCTCAAGGCAGCTGGATAACTGACAAATGGTCTAAAAAAAAATCCCTGATTACTTCTTGTTCAATAAGAATGCCTTCCTGATCCTTTCCATGCCCTCATTCAAATGTCTAGAGTTTCTCCAAACAGGAGTTCCAGTAGAATCCATTTCTGGAATCCATGACTAATATACAGATTACTGAGGCCTGATTTGGGCTTTTTCTTTTCTTTACCTGCTGTAGGGGCAGCTGCTTCTCTAGCAACTTCTCTTTGTGGGCTGCAGAGGCTTCCAACAGCTGTTCCCAGCGCCTCAGCAGAGCATCATGGCGCTGCTCAATAGCTTTGGTCTGACTGTGCTGAGCAGCCACCAGTTGGTCCTTTAGGTCAGTTATCTCTGACAGTCTGTCTCGCTGGAAACTCTGCAGACTGGCATCCAGAGTGTCCTGGGAAAGACCCAAAGAGGAGCTGTGAACAGAGAAAAAATGTAGGTTCCCAGGGACCATTTAAACCTGGGTTCCACCAGATGTTTATCATGGACCAGAGAAGGTCTAGGAAAGAATTAGAGAGAGGGCCAAGAAAAGGAAACATAACTTAGAGACTTACATGAACATTTGTGGCTGGAGTTATGGCTAAGTTCTGGTGGATGCATGTTTTATAATCAGAGCTTAGGTTAGCTATATAATTAATAGTAAAGGAATGTTGGAGCATGATATGATCTTCATTTTTGGAGTCCAAACTAAATGCTCCCCACAGCTCACATCCTTCCTCAGTCTCTTACATCCCCTGTTAGATTTTGTGTTCTGAGTAGTAGTGGTGCACTGCTAGAGATCTTGGAAGTATGCACACTAACAACAGATCCCTTAGAGAGGCCAGTTACACATTTAGTATGGTGTTGATATCAAAATCACAAAATTCTGGACACTACACTTCCAGCTTTAACACGGTGGCTTATATTTAAATAATTCTCCCTTTGAGAACAACTTTAATTGTTGGATAAAAGTACAACACATCAGGTGTTTGAATGAGATCGGTACACAGCTCAGGTCACTAGACTTCAAGGAATCAAAACTCTAGGAAGGTGAAATAGTAGTAAAATCGGAGTAATATTCTCTGTCACCCTTCCCTGTGACACGTAAGCTGCACAGGTCAAGAGACTGAGGGAAAGCAGCTGCTCAGAGCTCTTGATAATCTCATGGGACTAAAAAGATAGTTTCTGGGGAACCAGGTAGCCAGGATTGGAGCAGTGGTGGAAAAAATTTGGTTCAATATTCTGCCTGTTTCCCCCTCAAGGCATCTATGGGTTCCTAAACTCTATAGGATAGGAGTCCCAGAAGCCAAGCAGAAAACAGTCGCAAAGAGTCAAGGATGCTAAGTAGAGTCCTCAATGGCGTCACAGCACTGAGCTTAGGACACAGAGGAGCAGCACCAATAAAAGGGATTTAATTGAACCCGTAAAAGGCCCTAGAAGTAAGAGCTACCTGAAAAGGTCAAGTCCTAAGAAAAAGCAAAAAGTCTCTCTATAGATAGATAGATAGATAAATAGATAGATATCTTGAATCATTTCAGTCCCTGGCCAAAAAGTTGGGGGGGGGCAGGGGAGGGGGAGGGTAAAAATGCTTTAAATCAAATTCACAAGTTACATGATTTTGAATGTAAATGGACTCACTGTTCCAATAAAACGATCAAAGTAGATAAACAACACTCATCTCTGAAATTTTAGGAAGCACATATAAAATATGAAGACACTCCATGTTTCTGTGTTTACTACAACACCATTCACATTAGCCGCGATATGGAAACAATCTGTGTGTCCATCAACAAATAAACAGAAGAAGATGTGTTGTGTGTGTGTTTGTGTATGTGTGAAATGGAATATTATTCTGCCATGAGATGGGAGGAAATCCTGCCATTTGTGACAATTTGCATGAAACTTGAGAGCATATGTTAAATGAAACAAGTCAGACAAAGAAGCACAACTGCTATTGATATCACTCACCAGTGGAATCTAGAAAGGTCAAATGTAGAGAAACAGTAGGCTGGTGGTTGCCAAGGGTTGGAAAGAGGGGGTAATGAGGAGATACTGGTCAAGGAATACAAACTTTCAACTAAAAGAATCACTAATTCTGGGAATCTAATGTACAACATGATGATTACAGCTCAGAGTCTTGTATTATATACTTGAAACTTGGTAAGAGAGTAGATCTGAAATGTTATCACAACAAAAAAGAAGTGGTAATTACATAGTGGGATAGAGGTGTCAGCTAATGCTACAGTGGCAATCATTTAGCAGTGTATAAATGTATCAAACCAACAACAAAAATATAGGATATAAAGACCTAAATGTAAAGAAATAAAAGAAAACAACCAAAGGATGGAAATTGATATATACTTCAGAAACAAAATAAAATAAAATAAAATAAAATAAAACAAACAAACAAACAAACAAAAAACCCCTGGTACTCTAGTATGTGAAGAAGAAAACTTTAAATCAAGAAATATTATTAGAGGGGCACCTGGGTGGCTCAGTGGGTTAAAGCCTCTGCCTTCGGCTCAGGTCATGATCCCAGGGTCCTGGGATAGAGACTCGCATCAGGCTCTCTGCTTAGCAGGGAGCCTGCTTCCCTCCCCTCTCTGCCTGCTTCTCTGCCTATTTGTGATATATGTCTGTCAAATAAATAAATAAAATCTTTTAAAAATATTAAAGAAATGTTATTAGAATATTTCATAATTAAAAGTATCAATTCATTAAGATGCTTTATAATTTGAAATGTCAACACAACTTTGAAACTAGCTTCAAAATATATAAAAATAACAAAGTATTTAAACAATATGATTAACAACCAAAATCTGACAGGTAATATAAACCACTGTAAAACACACATTATTTTCAACTATACATAGACTATTCACAAACAGGCCATTTGCTGGATGTAACTCAAGCTTCCAAAACAATATAGAATGTGTTTTTAAAATAAAATGGAATTAAGTTAGCCATATATGTCATAAAAGATGAGAAAATTCCCAAATGTTTGGAATTTCAGTGAAATAAACTGTGGGATAGCCAACGAGTTAAATAATTAATTAGTAACAACAGAAATATCTAATCTGAGTGATTATAACAGAAGTAACATATGAAATTGTGAGGTGCAGCCAAAGCCCTGTTAGAGGGAAATTTATAACCTTACATCAAAATGCTAAAAAGGAGAAGGCCTACATATTTGATGTTCTAAATATTTACCTCAACAAATGTTTTTTAAAAATAAGTTAATCTCAAAGAAAGTAAAATAAAATGATAAAAATGTAAAAATATATTAATGGAAAATTAAAAGATATAACAAAGAAAAATTTTAAAAAATTGGTTATTTAATAAAAATCATGTACTCTTAGCAACAGCAAGACTGGTAGAAGGGAGAGGGAGAAAAAAACTGCAAGTTACCAATATTGGGAAAGGAAAAAGTAATAATATCTCAGATTCTACAGACAAGAAAACCACAGATTTGGGGAACAAGATAATCCTAGTGTTTAACTTCCATGTATGTGGGCCATGGACATGCTTGGCACCTGCCCAGGAGCAGCCCTGTTCTCACCTGCTTTGCCAGGAGAGTGAGGGAGGCAGCGAGGTCTGTCCCATTGCCATTGGTCTTCAGACTTGCTTCCTTCTCAGCTAGAGAGCAAAGATGATTGATTAGAGCGGAAAGGTAGCTGCTCTTGAATCAGACTTGGTAAGGAGAAAAGAAATATTTACTCTATGTCACAAGAGAGCCCCCTAACTCAGGAACTCAGGAGTGGATCATTTATTGGAAGATGGGAATAGTAGGGGCTGATGGATGGGTTATTTGGACGTGTGCAACATAGAACTGACTGAACAGAGCTAGAGCCAAGGGAACTTCTGAGTATCTTGAAAAAAAAAAAAAGGAAAATTGCAGATTAAACATAAGTTGGGAGTAATCAAACACACTGCTTTTTTAAAGAATGTTTTGCCACGGCTCTACCCTTTTGAATATCACAGATGAAATCACCAATTTCCCGAAAATGTGTTTTCTGGAATTCTGTTCTGCAGTCAGAAATCAGCATGTTTTCTGAGGTGTGTGTGTGCATACACAAGCACACAAATGTGAGTGTAATTATGTCCAGAAAGTGTAGGAGTCGGTGAGGAGGGAGTATCTCTCTTCCCATGGGAAGTGAAAACATCCCAGAACCTATCAGTGGAACCCACCAGCACGTCTCCTGTCCCTCACACATCATACCTATCCAGGCCTCCACCACGTCAGCCTTCCAGTTAAACTGCTGAAAGGCGTGATCGTCTTCCAGTTGCAACTTCCAAGCTTTTATGGCCATGGACAGAGAAGGGATCTTTTCTTTGAGAGACTCTATCTTGGCAGAAATCTCCTTTTGCTGACTTTTCTCCTGGGACACCAAGGTGGAAGGGAGAAGGAGAGACAGATACATGGGTGGACATCCAGAGCTAAAAGTTGGAATTCTTTACTATGTAAAAGAGGTGTCATTTCCCCCACTCCAAATATGTAACTACTCTCTCCTGGGTCTAATGCATTTATTTTATTTTTCATCCATGCCTCGGACGGTTATTTCCACTCTAGCATTTGGGAGAGCTTCGCGTGTTTGTCTACCTGAGTGTGGCCTTCTTAGCTGGAATGCCCTCTGTCTAAGGTTCTTTATGTAGCACTTAATTAGTGAGGATTTGTAAAAACAAGCAATTAAACAAAAGAATGATTTTCAAGTCACAAGGAGGTTTCAGTCTGGTCCTCCTCCCTAGTGCGTACAAAGAAACCTCTTTATATTTTTACGATACTCTATAACCAAATCGTGCCATGAAATCTTTATAAATGCCATGTTCTGCACACAGTGAGTAGGAGGGTCAACAAAGGATTTAAGGAAATCTGCAGGATATACTGATAAGAACTTAAAAAAATAATTTATTAAAAGCAGCAATCGAAGAGATAATTATTTGCTCAGAACAAAAACAAGGTAGCTAGGCAGAGAGTATTAAAATTTGATGTGTGAGTTTTTTAGCACTTCTCATGATTCTATATTTGAAGCAATCCCTTTTGGAAAATGAGCTTGGCCTGGAACCCCGAGTTGCTCACCTTATTCAAGATGTCTTCTCCTTGAGCACATATGTCTTGCACTCGGGTCTCATGGACAGCAAAGTCATTTTCCAGGGTTTCGTGCTTCTTTAGCAAGCTCTACATAAACGAGTCAGTGAGAATCAATACTTCCAAGCCTGGACAATCTAACCCACCCTCATTCTGACTTCCACTGATGCCCCCCACAGGGACAACTGAGCTACATGGGCAGAACACGGGCGTGTCCACTTTTCCCATCATGCCACTAAACGCTTCTCCTGAAGCTCTTCACTTGCCAAAAGGGGCAATCTTACCAGAAAAGAAAGAGATATTCTTTCTAACTTACTGTGTGAACTTCAGCTTTTCTGAACTTTGGAATGAAAGTGTGGGTCAAGGTAAAATGTAAGAATTCCACCATCTTGAAATTTATATAATTCCATGAAAAGTTGTATCTAACATATAGATAATAAGTATCATCTTATACCTAGAACGGACCTAGGAGTGCCTGGGTGGCTCAGTGCCTGCATAACCTGCCTTTGGCTCAGGTTATGATCCCAAGGTCCTGGGATGCAGTCCCACACCAGGCTCCCTGTCCAGTGGGGAGTCTGAGTTTCCCTCTTCCCACTGCTCATGCTCTCTCTCCTGCTCACTCACTCTCTCCCTCTCCCTCTCTTTTTCTCTCAAATAAATAAATAAAATTAAAAAAAAAAAGAAAAAGAAAAACTGACCTAAAGGTAGCTAAAGAAACTCTGAGCTGTTTTGACCCTCAGCATTAAACTTCTCTATGTCTACCTGCTGCTGGAAGGATGGAGAATGGAGTTAGGACAAAGCCCAGGAACAGTGTGTCTCCTCCTTCTCGGTATTCTTCTGAGTGTTATCCAGTCCAGCCTGCTCTGCCCACTGCTACTCCCATCCTGAAAGGCCTGGGCTGCCTCTGCTCCCTTTGCCTCGTCTTGTCACAAAGACACTTGTCCACTTTTCCTTCTACATTGCATACTAACCAGGGCCAAAGGAAGAAACAGATTTCATGTGACTATCATATTTTTAACCACTACATTTTGAAAACAAAAGGATTTCTGTTATATGGTGTTTTTAGGCATAAAATAAGATGGTTATTTCTTTAAATACAAGATGGGCTACATGATCTTGTATGATTGTATTATATGTCAACTCGATGCAGAAACCATACATAGAGACTGGACACATGATCCACTGTATAAAATAGACTGATTCAGCTAAGTTTTCACATACACATAATGCATGAAATAAAGTCTCTTCAATACGACCACCTTCTGTTTCCAGTGTCTTTTCTGTTCTTACCCTTGGACACCTCAGAAGCTCAGGTACCCCACATCAAACACAAATTTCCTTTAATTAAAATTGGATAGGTGTCCCTCTTTCAAACATATTCCTAGATAGCCTCCTTAATATTGTGTTAAAAGTTGATAAAGCCAGGGACGCCTGGGTGGCTCAGTTGGTTGAGCAGCTGCCTTTGGCTCAGGTCATGATCCCGGCGTCCTGGGATCGAGTCCCACATCGGGCTCCTTGCTCATTGGGGAGCCTGCTTCTCCCTCTGCCTCTGCCTGCCATTCTGTCTGCCTGTATTCCCTCTCTTGCTGTGTCTCCCTCTGTCAAATAAATAAATAAAAGCTTTTTAAAAAAAAATTAAGTCTTCAAAAAAAGAATCCTGAGATATTAATATGTATTATCAAACATTGATAATTAAAACAGCCTGTTAGGGACGCCTGGGTGGCTCAGTTGGTTGGGCAGCTGCCTTCGGCTCAGGTCATGATCCCAGCGTCCTGGGATCGAGTCCCACATCGGGCTCCTTGCTCGTCAGGGAGCCTGCTTCTCCCTCTGCCTCTGCCTGCCATTCTGTCTGCCTGT